TGAATTACTTAATTGTCTGAGCCTCCATCAGTTAATGGAGACAATAGATGCCTTACTGTTCACTGAGCAGAATTAGTGTGAAGATTAAATGCAGAACCTGGTATATAATGGAATCAATATAATTATGAATATTATTAATACTGCTTACAAGTAACACTACTTACAAAATAAATATTAGCTCTTTGCAAGTTGTCTGAACTACAATACCTTTCTAGAATGGACCTTTTTTATCTGTTCAAGCAGCCCGGTGATATTTTATATTTTGATTCTAAAGCAGTGCTTCTCAAAGTTGAGCCTGAATTCAATCCCTGGAAAAACTTCCTCACACACTGACTGCTCGGGTCCCCTTAGTGTTTTTTGATCATGTAGAGCTAAGGAGAAAACAGCTTTGCTTTTCTAGCAATTTCCAGACATTTTTAATGCTGATAGATCTAGTCCACACTTCCAAATCCCCTGTTCACAGGATTGAACCTATGAAGCATTCACTCGGTAAGCATTTATTAAGCGCCTACTGTGCACTGAGAATTGTCCTAAGTAAAGAAGGCAAAGCGGTGAACCAGGGAAAGCCCTTGCCTTCCTGGAGTCTGTATCCTTGTGGGCAGAAGACAGTAAGGAAACCATTTCAGAAGATGGCAACCACTTCAGGGAAACTACTTAGTGACACAGTGAGAGAGGGGATGTCACTAAGAAAGGTGACTTGGGTACAGGGAAAACACTGCTGAGGAAGTGGTGTTTGGTCACCAAACATTAGGATGGGGGAGACCTCCTGCTGGGCGTGGTCATTCCAGCAGGAAAGGACAGTGAATGCAGAGATCCTAGGCAGACACTGCCTTGGAGGTCTTCACATGGCCAGAGCATAGGGCACAGAGAGAGGGAACAGCAGGGAGGTGGCCTCTTGGTCTATTTGCAGCAGCTGGCCTCTTATTGAAAGGGAGAGAAGCCCTGGGAGGGTTCCAGGTAGGCCAGTGACACAGCAAACACAGTTTTCCAGCACCAGGCAGCCAGGAAGCTGTTGAGCTCCTGCACTGGAGGGAGGTTAGTGGCTTGGTCAAAGGGGAGCAGAGCCATCGAGGAGCCTCACGCTGAACACCTGAGGTCACAAGGGCTTCCAATGCTTTTCAGATTTTAGAACATTTGCATGTGCGTCATGAGATACCGTGGAGCAGGACCCTGAGCCCAAACGTGAGATTCACTCACGTATCATGCACACCTTCTACGAGGAGGCTGCAAGAAATCTCACACAGTATTTTTAGGGTGCCTGCATTTTGACTGCAGCTTTTACAGAGGGTGGGATGTGGGATTTCTTTCTTTTGGCATTGTGTCAATATCCAAAAAACTCTGGATTTTGAACCACTGGACATGTTGGATTCTTCGATCAGGGATGTTCAACCCTACTTTAAAAGCAAATCTGCCAGTATGCTATTGAGTTAGAGGTCAGGTGAGGAGAGAAGAAATCAAGACGAGTTATGGGATCTGGAGAGACTGATTTAGTGAACCAAGATCACCCATAGTCAATTGTCTGCCACACAGTAAGAGCTCCCTCACTCACCTATGTATTTTGGAATAGGATATTTTCAGTGTAGAAATTCTAATGCTGCCAAAAATGATCACTTAGTTCATCTGCCGCACAACCCTTGGGGGTACTGTTACATCCCTAAACGTTGGGCTGTAGATAAAGGTGGAGAAAGAGGCTCCCTAGCATTGAGAAACCTGTCCATACTATGCATAGGGGTTTTTTCCTCCCACTTTCTACAATGAGATGTAACTCCAGTCCACAAAGCTGAGTGTCCAGCGTGAAAGACCCTGGGCCCGTAGCTGAGACCATGTCATCCATTTAGGAATGTCTTACAACCCAGGGCCTTGTGGGTGACAGAGGAGTGATATGAAGGGAGAGACTCATCGTGACACCAGTGATCACTGTTGAGGGCACAGTCCTCTGCCTTGGCATTTCTGTTCCTCACTCCAGGATGGTGGGCCGCTTGCACCCCGCTATCCCGGGGGTGGCACGGCAGTGCGTGTGATTTATAACCTCATCGAGGACAACCAGCCTGATGCCCACCCCCTCCATGAGTGGGGCTGGCAAGCTCTGTACCAGCAGAGCTAGAGCCGTGTGCACTCTGTGGGAGCGATCACGTCTGGACCCCAGATCTCTCCAAATATCATCGAGGGAGAAATATGACTCATTGAAATTCAGTTGTATTTTTAAGAAGTTTACTGTCATTGTTTATAGCTTAGGGGATGGACTTGGTGTGGTGCGTGCACCAAAACTGGGGGGTAAAATCAAATTTTATCACCATCAGCTTCCTCCGCCCACTTCCTCCACATGATTTTGAAATTCACTCTTGGATGCCCAGGGTCCTCCTGGGTGTCTCCATCTGTCCTGCACCCCTCTCCTCCATGGACTTATCCAGTTGCTTATGTTTCAGGCCTGAGCATCCCAGCCAAGCAGCTTCTCACTCATCAAGAAGTCTCACTATCCCTGCTTCACGGCACACTCCAGGTGCTGCTCCAGGGTGTAACAGCCCCTGCATATGAAGTGCTTGGTATTTATCAGGCACCAAGCCAAACGCCTTTGGTAAATCACCTCATTTAATTCTCCCAGCAGTCCCATGGTCTTAGGACTATTAGTATCTGCAGGTGCAAATGAGAAGCTCAGGAAGAGATGAAATAATGCCTCTGGTTGCCTAGGAAGGTTAGAGCAGAGTAGAAATAAATTGGACCCTCTGCAACTCTCCACCAAGGCTCATAAGCACGCCATATTCTTTTATGATGGAAGAGACCTGCAACTTATTGCTTTTATGACAGAAGTGACCCAGCACCTATGTCGTCTATGCCCTTCACAGCTGTCATGCTGTTTGATTTTTTCACAGCGACTCTTCAAGGTAGATATCATCATCGCCTCTACAGAACCGAGGGTCTCAGAAAGGTTAAGAATCTCATGCAAGACCCACCATGAGTATGAAAGTGACCGAAACGAGATGCAGAACCAGATTTCCTAAGTTCCAATTCCCAGGTGCTTTTCATGACACGAGACAGCCTGAATCTGAGGTCGCACCAAGAAGCTGTGTATCAGAGGGTTTCTTGGAGGTGGGTAGAGCTGAGCCATGTGGACACAGAGGAGCTGTGGATGTTAGAAGCAGCAGGAGTGGGTGTTGCCCTAGCACAGCTGGAAGTCACCCATGGGCTACTTTTTTCAAGAAGGTGTGCTTTCATTCTACCTGTCCGGGCATCTGACACCCCTCGCCCTTCCTTTGAGGGACTTTAGTAACTTTCCAGCACACGAGGGCTTACTGACCCTCTTTCTTCTCCCCTTTCTCCCCATCTTACCTCCCTCCCTGCCTCCATACCTGCCCTCCCTGGCTTTCTCTCTGGGCTCCAAGTTGGTCAACTGTTTTCAGGTTAGGGCCTCTTGCATTTACTTTTCAACCTACCAGTAACTTTCTTTGACTTCACCTTCCGTGACAACATTCAGCTCAACTGTCACTTCTTCAAAGAGACTGTCCCCTCTGTCAGCCATTAAAATACGTCATTCCAACATTCTGCTTGAAGATTTCTGGAGGGACTCCCCCTTGAAGGCTGCAAGCTTGCCCTGTTGGCAACTCAAGAGAGAAAAAAAGTAAGTTAGGCCCAGCGTTTGCTCCAGGCCTTTTTCCAAAGCCAGCTCACGTCAGGCAGGTTAGTCCCACCCAAGTACGAGGTCTGCACTCAGCGGAAGCCTCAGTTCATTTTCAAAGCAGCTTCGTGACATGTAAAGGCTGAAACCAAGAACAATTTTGATGAAAAGGATAAACCAAAAAAAGTTATTGTAAGAACTCAGGCTACAAAATTTTTGCCTTGGTTGATTAGAAAAACCAAAGAGCTTTTGTTTTTAACCTACAAGTTACTTGTCTTGCTGACCCAAAAATCATAGCCAGTAACCCCAAGGGTTTCCCCAAGGGACATGCCACCAGTACCCCCGAAGGAGACTGAGGGGCCCTTTCCTGCATACGGGTCACACTGCCACACCCTCAAACATTCTCCTTGTTCCCTCATTTTTAAGTTGTGAAAGACATGTATTAGCTTCATGATGCTACAGGGAAATACCTGAGACGGGCTACTTATTAAGCAAAACAGGCTTATTTAGTGCACAGCTTTGACAGCTTTAGTCCAAGATGTCAATCTTGGCTTTGGTTTCTGGTGAACCTGGTAGACAGCATGGAAGAAGTACATGTCTCAGTGAGTTGTCACAGCTTCACTAAGCCAGGATGTGACAAGAAGCAGGGGGACTGAGAGAGCCACAGAATGGTGGAGGACCCACCTCCAGGGACCTAAGGACCCTTCCACTGGCTGTCCCTGCCTCCTGCAATTCCATCAACTACTGTACGACTGCTCTGGTGACTAAGGCTTTAGCACTCAGACATTTGGAAACGTTCAGTGCTCGAAGTATACCAAAGAGGGAAACTTTTTCAGTTCCCTGTCCCACATTAAAAAGATTCCTCCAACATCTTAACACCATACTTTTCTCATATGAAATGGCACAGAACATCAAACCTCTTTCATTTAAAAATGACCAAACATATTAACTAAAAAAAGAAGTGTTTATAGCGTTTACTCAGAGATTCACAAATATTTTGCCTCCAGAATCCCCTTAGATGTTAAAGAATTGATGACACCCCCAAAGAGCCTTTATTTACATGGATTCTACCACTTGATATTTATTGGACTAGAAATTAATACTGAGAGTCATTCTAAAATATTTATGTATTCACTTTTAAATAATAACTGTAAGCCAATTCTATGTTTATATAATAGCATATTTTTACTTTAAAAATATATAGTCCAAAGAAAGTCAAAATACTATTATTTTATACTTTAATAAACCTCTTTAATGTCTAGTTAATAGAAGATAGTTAGATTTCCGTATCTCTTCTACAGTCCATCCATGCACTGTCAGACACAATTTAGCCCCTGAAATTTCATTGCATCCTCCTGAGAGAATAACTGCAAAAGACAATACAATCTTATTTTGATAAAAATAGTTTAATTTCCAGTTGCCTCAGAGGTAGAGGGATCCCCAGGGTTTCCCAGACCACATTTTTTAGGGGTCCAGGAGCAGATCTGGATTCAAGCCCAGCTGAAGGAGGGATCAGGAGGTGTTCAGTATCTGCTTCTAGCTTCAGCTCCGCTTTGCAGATTCTTCCTCATTAGCAGCAAAGATGGGCACCAGCAGCTGCAGTCTTTTATCTGAAGAAATCAGTAACGCAAATACTACATGATTTTCCAAGAGTGCTAAGAAAACTCCTAAATCTGACTGTTCTTGGACCAGCACGGGTCATGGGCCAGTCCTCCAAGCACCATGTCACAATGGACCAGAAGTAGGAAATATGAACGATCGAATTAGGAGTGTGTACACACTGTGAAGCTGAGAGAATAAGTTGAGTGCCCTCTGAAGCCCATGCACAGAGATGACTCCCCATAAGAAAATAAGTGGTCACCATAACAAAGGGAGATGAGAAACAGAGTTCAAGTTCAGGGATGCTTGTTTCTAGGATGTTCAATACCACAGGAAGAAGAAAAGTGTGCTTTCCTTTCTCCTTCCTGCTTTCATGCCTTTGACCCATACTGGTTGGCTTGGTATAAGGCCCTGTGCTAATAATAATCATAAAAGTAATAGCATCACTAATGCTCATGTGCACTTCCTATGTGCTAAGTACTCCTTGAGGAAGTCTGCAGGTACCGACTAACTTAATCCTCACAACAACCTCTACTTTTAGTCCTAAATTCACAAAAGTAAATAAGACTGTGCTATTTGTTGGACAGAGGGTATATGTTATGGTTTAGGCTTAAAATGCTCTCCAAACGTCTTATGTTTGGAGGGGGTGAAGCTCATGAAAGGGGGCAGGTCATGGAGGGTATGAATTGGAAAGGTAGGTTCTCATTTGTGGCTTCTTCCTTCTCTCCACTTCCTGGCTGCTGTGAATTGAACAGTTTTCCTCTGCTATGCCTTTCCACCATCACATTTCTGCCATCCATGAACTGAATCCTGTAACAAAGCAGGCCTCTTGTCTCTTAAGTTGTAAGTACTGGTTATCTTGTACTAGTGAGGGTGCTAATACAGATAATGGTACCAGGAGTTGGGTATTGTTGTGACCATACCTTACCACTTTGTGGTTTCAAGGGCTTTGAAATTTGCTGTTAGACAGAGTTTGGAAAGGTTTGGAAATGCCAACCAGAGAGGCCCTCAAATGTCATGAGCAGTGCTTGATGTGTGATACTTTTCAGAACTCTGCAGCTCAGAATGCTGGTATGAACATGAATAGTTAAGGCCAGGCTCTGGTTGTTTCATTTTGGAACAAGAACTCCATTGGTTGGACTAGAAGCCACATATGTTACACTTTAGCAGAAAACTTGTCTATATTTTTTCCATGCTCTGAGACTGTGGGAGACCAAGATCAAAGGCAGTAGACTAATAATGTGATCAAATAAATTTCAAGACAGTGGGTGTGGCATGGGTACTGCTAGATACTCTTAGATAGACCTACAGTGAGAATCAGAAACAAATGGCAGAGCTGAGTGATTTTCAAAGTTCATAGCTTCATCAGGGAAGGAGCACCTGAGAAATTAGGCCAAGGATAGTATGTTTGCTGAAGGCATTTGCATTGAAAAGAAATCAAGCACTTTTACAGGAATAAAAAAGATGACTTGGGAACATCTATATAATCAGCAAGACCCCACCCTTTTCAGGTTTAAGGGTGCAAAACTGTAAATCTTTTACTTGAAAAGAGAGTCTAAAATTGCTTTGCTTAAAAAGGACTTCCTAGGGAAATGGGTCCCCAGGACTCCTTTCCAAGTACTCAGAGGCTACTTACAGTTATGATCCTAGACAGCCTGCCTACTGCTCAAGGTGTTAGCAAACTTTGATGTTATCCACACATGCTGGTTTTACAGACATGTGAAATGCAAGAGTTGTGGGATCAAGGAAGTTTACACCCAGATTTCAGAAGAAGACCTGGAAGTTCAGACAATGTACCCTTCAGAGAGCAGTGTGTGACACTGTGAGAGTGAAGCCAAAGACAGAGTGGAGGCCCCAGGAAGTTGTAGGTGCCAGGAACATGGATTATCTGCTGATAAAAGCCATGAACAGTAAATGCAGCCAACCCAAGAGACGTCTCATATGGGCTGCAACTGGCTATACTGTAGTTGTGATTCTGCCTACAACTTCGGAACTCACAAGTTACTATAACCTGTCTTTGGTGCTAGATATCCAGCTAGCCTAATTAATGTTTGCCCTACTGGGGCTCAATCTTGTTTTGGTCTTATTTCTATTTACATATTCTTCCCTTTTGGAATGGAAGTGTTTACCTTGTGCCATTGTACATCAACCGTGCTTCACTTTCTTTTTGATTTTTACAGGGACTCACAGCTAATAGTTTGCCTTGAGCTTCAGAGGACACCTTGGACTTGGATTTTTCAGCAGTGCTGGAACTGGTAAGACTTTAGCACTCTTAGAGCTGGTCTAAATGCATTTTGCATAATGAGACAAACAGGTGCTTTTTGCAGGCAGAATGTTATGGTTTAGATCTAAATTGGCCCCCAAATGTCTTATACATTTGGAGGTGGGGCTTGATCAGAAGGGGCATATCACTGGGAGCATGATCAGTCAGGAGTATTCTTGTCCACTGCTCCTTCCTTCTCTCTTGCTTTCCTGGCTGCCATAGGGTGAGCAGCTTCCCTCTGCCTTTTCACCATGCTGCTGCTGCCCTGGAGGTAGCCAAGCATGAACTGAATCCCTAAGGATCACAGACACATCACCAGCATGGACAGCTGTCGTTGTGGGAGGGCGCCTCCTTAATCCCCTTACTCCAGCTTCTGGAATTACCTTAGAGTCTTCTGGTTGTGATTTAGTTTTACATGAAGTTTTTGCATAGAGAATGCTATGTGTTCCAGGACAAATAGTAATTGCATTTCTTGTTGTGAGTTGATAAACTGACACTGGCCTATAACATGACTCAACATGACTACTTAGTATAAATCTGTCTCCAAGAGAACAGGACTTCTCTGTGAGTCATGACAAATCCGGTTTCAGAGACTATCACCCTGGAAGGCAGGTCACGGACCACCTAAACTCACCAAGGTAATGTCACCATGTGTGATCATGTAGGAGTCAGATGTAGATGTCACTAACTGAGTTTTCATTAAACTTACACAAAGGGTTTGCTTCCCTTCCTTGCACTCCAGAAATTATCAAAGAGCAATGTTTTAAACTTAGGCATACATAGTAGTATTTAGAAGTAAGAACTCAGATATGGGGACATTGAACATATTCCTTAATGAGTCCCCTGGTTATATTTAAATGAAAAGCCCCACTTACCTTAAAAATATTGTTTTCATCATCAAGGGAAAGTGTTCCCTGCAGTGTATTAAGCTGCTCCTGGGTGAAAGGGAAAATATTAGAATTTAAATGTGGAAATGAATTTAGAAGGCGCATCATAGACTTCACAGATCCAGCAGCGGGTACTAAAAGAGGTCTTCATTTTATTAAAATATGAAACGACTATTCAATTGGGAAAGTGGGACCCCAGCTGAGCTTCTGTGGGTATTGTTCTGCCTTTGTAACACCAGACCCAACCCTTTTTCAAATGTAAATGGAGGGTATCTTTTGTCATCAACAAAAGTTAGCAGGAACAATGGGGAATGGAAGAAATGTCATAAAAGCAAATGGGGGAAAGTGCCATAGTAGATCGTGCATCTGCAACATCCTTGAAAACCTGCCAAAAATCTTTATCTCTGAAGCGAGCACAGCAGAGAATGAAAACCCTCTTATCCTGGGAAGGAAGGCTTCTTGTTTCCCTGTGGGGCTGGCACTGGGCCAGAGGAGCCACCCCAGGAAGATGGAGCATCAGGTTCACTAGAGGAGGCCTTAGTGAAAACGGAGAGAGTTCTGAGCAGACTGAAGGGAGACAATTATCTGTGCCTGCACAACTTTCTGAGGAAGAGGAAGAGCAGCGCTGGATTCAGGCCGGGTGCCTGTAGATTCCTAGGGCTCCTAGAGGAGACGCCTCCAGCAGAAAAGGAGAAAATTATTACCTGTGTGCTGGCGCAGAGAGCAAAAAGAAACCAGGCCTCTTAACATTTTCGCTACTTTGCACCCTTAGGATACAACTCAGGCCTAAGCCCAGAGGAACCTATGCCTAATGAAAGCGTCTTACAAGCACCTGCCCCTTGACCCAGTTTAGAAATGGAGAAATACTGGCAGGGCAGGGACCTAACGCCTCTCAGAGCCAGGAAGGGAGGTCATGGGATGGGTGTTCCAAGCAAACGGACTTGGAAATCAGGGGGCATTGGTTTGAATGGCAATCCTGCCACTCGGCTGTCATGATCCCATAGTTTCTTGACTTCCTTGGGTCTCCTTTACCTCATTTATTAAATCAGAAAAAAAATCTTTTCCACGCTGCTGTCATGAAAATGAATAAGATAACTAAAAAAGTGCCTGGCAGCAAGTTTGGACAAGGGCATCTCAACCAGCGGATGAACTGGTCGAAGGGTCTTCCACCCTTCCATGCCAGCTCTCTCTCACCTGGATACCTCCCCACCCACAGACTCCAGGAGCCTTGGCCTAGCCGCACCACCTGGGAGGAGTCACCCTTTGCCTTGAAGAAGATCGTTAGTGTGGAAGGGGGGAGGGAAGAAAAGGACCTGGCTTCCAGATCTCCACAACTGTGATCTACGTGGAACACAGAAAAAATCCGTAAAAACAAGTGACCAAGTTGTATTTTCTTTTTCTATGCCGTATTAAAAGTTCAGGGCCAAGAAGAGTGGCTGATTAGGAGGACAGAGTTAGGAGGAAGAGCGAGAGATGACTGAAGTTAACTGAACAAACCGTGAGTCCTTTACCCAAAGACACCACTGCAGAGACCTGCCTTGTGCCTCCGTGTGCCCCCCATGTAAGCAGATGCATTGTCTTCTGCTCCTTGAGTGACACGGTCATCAAAATCTACAGTGAATGTTTAGATGAAAATAATTTATTACAAGGTAAAAGACACACTGACATGAATCCCCCTCCGTGCTCTCTCCCCCCAAACACACCGCCCCTGCCATTCCCACCATGCTCTGCAGCAGGTCTGAAAGCCCACTGTGGTGAATGTCCTCATGAGGTGTGATCAAAACTGTGGTGATCGATGATGTGCAATGCCATCGAAACCAAGGCCAAGCTTAGGAAAATATGGCTGTGTGTCCTCATCTCCCTCATTCACCATGTGACTGCTTGCTCTGTCCTAAAGTCAAAATGCCCATGAAAGGCATCCTAGCCATTTTCCTCAGACACAGTGCCTGGCATCTGTAACTTGGAGCAGAGGCTTGTTTTGACTTCTGGTTTCACCCCACAGTGGTGGAAACCGGATGGCAGAGGAAAGAGTGCTCCACCACAGCGGGTAAGAAGCAGAGAGCCACGGGACTGAAGAGAGAACCCGGCCTTCCGGTCACGCACCTGGTGGCTCAGTGCCAACCAGGCCCCACCTCCCACGACACATGAACTCCCCCATGTGTGACTCCTCAGAGGAGTACAGGGCCCACACGGATTCCAGAAGGCCAGGACTGTGACCCATGGCGATGAAAAACAAGGCCACATGCAGAAGATGCGGAGTGTGAGTAAATTTATTTAAAAGATTATTTAATTTATTTAAAAGGTCAGAAAGCAAGGGGTGGGAAGGCCAGGAAACAGAGCCCTGCCAGCCAGGAGGATGTCCTGAGTGGGATCCTGAGAAGGCTCTTTGTCTAGGGTTCTTTTTAAAGGGCTTAGATAGGCGTTTAGGCCACTGTATAAGCAAAATGATCTCCACCCTGCAGGAAACTACGTATTTTTAAGGCTGAGTCCACACAGTGTTTACATAGTGTCCATGCAGGGTCCATGAGCCCTGGAGCCCATGGCCTGCCTGACCAGGCTTTGCAGAGGTCTTTGGTAGCCAAAGGACACCTGGCAGGTATGTTTATAAGATCATTGTGGGTGTACACTCTGCAGACTCCATTCTGGGAATTTTACTCTATCATAGGGCCACTTTTCTTACTGCCTGCTAGGATTCTAACTCTTTTTGTATTAATTTTTGTGACCCCACGATCCAATTACCTTCTAAACACATGAGAGTCCTAAGGTACGTTTTCTAACCAAACCAAAACAAAAGTTATCAGTTAGGGCTCACTAGATAAACATACTTAATACAATCTATTGATAAAGGATTTACTAAGTAGGCTCACAATGGTTTCCTGGGGAAGCAGAAATGGAAGAACGGAAAAATGGCCTTCTGTACACCGGAGAGCAGCAGGGACCAGACACCGAAGCCTAGCAGGTAGGCTGCCAGATACACCCACTGCTAAGGGGAAAGTGCTGAGACAGAAGTGTAAAGCTCGCTGCCAGTATTATATAAACAGTATTTAAGTTGTCAGACTTAATAGCTGAATTGGAAAATGATCTTTGAGTAGAGAAAAATGCCAAGAACTGAGACTGGGAAAGGATCTGGGGAGTGAAAATTAATCCACCAACAGAGGTGGAGGGGTAGCCAGAAAGAGAAAACCAATAGTAAGAATCTCAGGGATTGTTTTTGATTGAAAACGAATGAATGGGATTAGGAGTTCTGGAGGAAAAAAATCTTGGTCACCCTTGTGTTGCTCACTAACAAATAATTTTAAAAGAACTCATGCAATTAGAAAGTCACATGGACCCCAAAGTAATGCTTCAAGTAGAGCCAAATTCAGAGTTTCTACTCTGGGCCTCAGTTTCCCATTGAGGAGTGGAGCAGAACCAGCTCAAGCCTGTACTGGGACCAGACTACAAAAATTCTCATCCCAACTCTAGACTCTAGACAAGAGTTGGAGCAGGTTCCTTGGCTTGTGTGCCTCGGTGTCAGCCTCTGTAGGATGAGAATAATAACAGTATCTACCCAGTAGATTTCTCACATGATGATCAACTGTTAGGATGTATTGAACTCTCTCCACCATCCCTGGCTCTCCGAAAGCAGCTAAGTCATGGTAATTACTATTACATGGCACATGGCAGAGGAGCAACCATGAGTTCAAAATTGTTTCAAGGCCAGAACTGCCTCACAAGAATGAATGAAGTCAAGCTCAAAGTTATTTGGGGGCCTTTTAAAGGAATATATGCTTATGCCTCATTTTAGAAATATTCTTCCATGCTTTATTAACACATTAAGGATTTGGTGGGGATTTTTTTCCAGAAAGCTGATCTAACAACCATCAGGTATTTCATTCCATTAGAGAAATAAAAGGGAATGGATTTTTTTCCATATCACACAGAGGGAAGAAAAGATCTCAGTAGAATTTTAGTTTCAATATTTTTTCCACTCACTCCCATTGGATGCTTTGATTTTGTTTCTCTATCTTGAATTGGTTTCCCTTGAAAAACCACTCCTTTCTTCTTGTTCTGTCTCATCTCATCCTTCAGTGACAACAATTAATAGTGACCTTTACTTTTCCTTCTTAGGTGTACATTACACAAAGAAAATTCAATACATGGTTGATCTCATCAAACAGATCAATCAGAGGATGATGATTTGCTTTCAGAACCATTCTCTTTCAAAAGGAAGTCTCAGTGGGATTTCTTCAAATAGTTTTTCACCTATAGACCACTACTACTACAATATATATTGGGAACTTTATTCGGCATTTATGGAGTGCTTAAGGAATGTTGACTTTTATTGATGATAATGGTCTTCCTGATAGCACAGGTATTTGTGTCTATATCTCTCCCTCCCCTAGAGTTAGGGTACCAAATGGATTTTATTGCTTGCCCCAACTTGGACTGATTGAGAAGTGCTGTCCAGAGCAATGAGTTTTAAAAGACACTGACACTGTGTCTAGGTTCATACAGAAAGCATCACGATGGATTGGCAATGTCTGACGTGGGGGCAGGAGGGAGTGATCTGCTCCCATCCTTTCCGGCTGTGCTGCCTGTGGCATCCTCAGAGCAACAGAGTGGGTGTCATCAAGTTAGCAGGAGAGTGTGGCTCAAGGTGGGGACACATGCATGTCGCTGAGTTTAATTAAAGTGACTGATGGTGACTCCCACAACTATTTGCAATAAACCTAGTGGCTTCTTTATACATATCTGATACTTCTATCACTCAACCAACACCTTTGTTGAGCATCTAGCTGGAAGAAGTCTCTCCGTCCATGGGTTGTCAGATTCCTTCCTTGTTCTTGGAGGGACTCAAGTGTCCCCACATGCCTGCACACCCATCCCTCCCTTATCAACTCATGGCAACAGAGTTGAGGTTTGCCCTGGCCCGCCTGAGGGCCCCTGTGTGTTTAAGACTGCACTTGCTGTTCCTGCCCTCAGGTAATGGCCACCTGTGGGCATTTCCATTCCACCCTCCTGGTTAAAGTCGTGCATGTAGGAAAGCATCGGTGAACGTCAGGTTATAGGTTATAGAGATACCTGGCCTTCTAACAGGAAGTCCGTGTCTTGGGCCATGCAGCTGAGAGATGCATAAGTTTCTGAAGCTGGGTCAATAGGCACACAAGCAGCCTACGAAACAGCACACTGCATGCTCCACATAGCAAATTAAATAGCTGCTCAATTTTGCCCAAATACCATGCTACAGTACTAGGTGGCACGGAAGGAAAGACTCCTGTGAATCTAAACCCTCTAAAATTCTAAGTGAAATTTGGGGAATTTTCGGAGAAGAGATTTTTTAAAAATAATGCAGAAGTCGCCCTAGAAGGCCCTTGCTTTACCATTTGTGGCCAACACCCCTCTGGTCCTCCTCTGTGCTCCAACTCTGCTCTTCTTAACTGCAGATGAAATTTATGAAGGCGTTAGTAGATTTTCCCAAGATATACACCTGCGGTGTAAAGGAGGCGAAGGTAAGGGGGCCACATTCACGCAGCAAAGTTTTTATCACCCATCCTGAACCTTGGGAAGTGCTCAGTAAATGCTGGGTGATGGAAGGGACAAGCCATCTCTTTATAATGGTGGAGTCGCTGAGCTGCTAACTATGATTATCACGGGCCTCAAACTTGGGCTTGATTCGGTATCATTGTGTTTACAACTTGACTTTTTTAAGAGCTACAGATGAAAGAAGGAACTCATTCTAGTTCTGACTCTAAATATTACAATAGATAGCAATTAACACAGACATCAAAGGCGTGGAGGAAATTTCATCGCTATGAGGATAAGGATATTATTATTGTAACCAGAGAAAGATGATGAGATGCAGAGCTATTATAGCTGCTTCTAATAAAATAAAGTCTCATAAAATGGGTTAAATTACCTCCTTAATATTAAACAAATGATTTTACAGAAGGTTCTTGCAGGAATTGAATAAGAGGCCAAGATACAGTACAGTAGCTCTTCAGTTACAGCATTCCATGAGAAAGGCAGGAATAAAGAAATGTACTCATGATCACATCAGTAATTCCCGAGTATCCCCTTGCTTTATTAGATGGAAGGGCACATTGGGTCTCTTTGGGAATGTTTGAGTCTCAAAGGAATGAGCTTCTGGAATCTGTGCTCTGACATGTGGCCCCCAGCCGTCTCCACAACCAAGGCTGTGCCTCTGTAGGAGGGGAGTTCCGATTCTGATCTCATTTCCTGCTCCTCCCTCAAACGCAGCAATCACTCTCTTCCACAGAGTGTTTCTTTCATGCAGAGTGGCTGCTTTTAGACTGGAAGGCAAACCATAAGGTTCTAGAAGAGCTCCCACGGGCTGTGCCCGAGCAGCCTTCTTTCCAGGGGAAGCACCTGAAATCTTCTGCTGTCTTCAGGAGTCAAAATTATGATTAAACCTCAGCAAAAGTACATAGCCCATTAAAAGAAAAATCACAATGGCTTACAAAGGGGGTGACACCTCTGTTTAACAGCCATGGACAGTCTTTCAGAATCATTTGGGACAGGAAGCAAAGCTTACCATATCCAGTTGAGGTGTGCGGGGAACTCGAAGTTGTCAGAATGCAGTTATCCCTGCTGGAACGTGGTCAGGCTGGTGTTCGACAATGCCACAAGCCTTGTTAATGACCCCTTTTTAATTAGCTCTCCTCTTTTAGGTTCAGAGTTTGCTTCCCAGAGACGAAGAGAACTAACTTTCATTTCAAGGAAGGAAACTGAGACCTAGAAAATATCACACAACAAACAAATGAGCTGGAAACTCTGTTCTTTGTTTTCCCTTTTGTATTCTTGGCCCACAAGTTCCTTGATTCAACTTAATACACCAAGTACTAGCTCCTGTTGTGGGTCAGAAGTCAACCAAGATAGAGGCTTGGTTTCTGCTTCTGAAGAGCTGTTACTCTAGCTAGAGGGACTGCTGTAGATACAGGAATCCTATCTGAAGGTGGTCAGTGTGTCAGCCAGTCTTCTCTCACTACGACAAATACCTGAGATCACTTACAAGCAGAAGAGTATGTTGTGGTACATGGTTTCCAAGGGTTCAGTCCATGGATTTCTGTCACCTGTGGCCACACATCATGGCAGGCATATGTGGCAATGCAAATCTACTTGATTCATGGCTGGGAAGTAGAAGAGAAAGAGGAAGAGACCAAGGTCCAACAATTCTCTGACAACTACATTTCCAGTGACCCCAAGTCCTCTCACTGGACCTCACTAATAAAGGTTCCATTGCCTCCCAAAAGCACCAAGGTGAGGTCCAAGACTTTGACACCTGGATTTGAAGAGAATCCAGATTCACACTGTAGCAGAGACCATGGCAGGGCCAGGGGATCTGCCAAAAGGGAGGAATCCCTTCCTTAAAGGAATCTGGAAGAGACCTTGGGGTGAAGTCTGCTTCCTGGGCTTCTGAACCCTCACCATCACTTCCCCTTGGGCTTCCCATCCTAATCTAGGTCTCCCTGTGCTGCCGTTTCTCAGACCCAAACCTTCATTTTGATCTTCCTTCAAATTCATTTTTGGGGTTCTCTTGAGTTTTGGCTTTGGAGCAAGGGCAGAGTAGGCATGGTGAGGGTACTTACAATTGAGGGGACTATCTTTAAAACACAGTTATCCATATAACGTTGAGTCCAAAAGCCAATATTTATTTGGGAAGAGAAATCACACCAAACTGCCAGGGCCTTGGAAATGAAGCCCTTTTCTTCTTGGGTCTCTGTCAATGTGCCAAAAATGCACTTTAACCCCTGGTCCATACCGTGTTTTATTTTTTACCTTGGGCCATTTACACCCAGACCTAATTCTAAAATTCATTACATTCTTTCCACTTCTATATGCTGCTTCCAGTTTGCAGTGTCTTTGCATGGACTGATCTTGCCAAGTGTAACTGGAAATGTGAGTATTCTAAATCCTCAGACCAAAATGCCACGGTGTAAAGAAGCCAATGGAGATGTTGGCCCTGCTACAGTCCAAGAGCTGCTATTTGAAAGAACAATTCTTCCAACCCCTTGGCAGCCGTAGGAGGGGTCCTTGACTCCTTTCCACAGCCAGCAGCTGTAGCAACACTGCTGCAGAACTGGTAACTTCTGTCCACTGCCTGCCTTATACTGTGATTCCTGATGACCACACTGAGTGCTCACAAAACTCACACAGCAGGTGTAGCTTCACTGATGAGGACAAGGAGGCTCAAATATCAACTAAATTGTCTGAAATAAAACAGGTGAGTAGTTAATCACAGAACTCACCAGAATCCAAATCTCAGTCCCAAACCCAATCCCTTCAGAACTGCACTTTACAGCCTCATGGGGCACCAAACAAGACCTGGCAAAAACGTACCTATATCAAATTGGTATAGCCCCAGCATCCAGGAAACCATTTACAAATGTTCATTGCATCACTGTAGCAAGTACTCCAGAAGTTAGTGGCTGATATCTACAACCATATTCTACCTGATGCTTTCGTGGGATCGGGATTCAGGCAGTCTTGTGTAGATGATTCTTTTGCTCAAAGTAGCATTAACTGGTGGCTAGTCTGGTCTGCAGGGTCCATGATAGCTTTACTCCCAGGTGGCGATCTCAGCAGGGCAAACCACAGGGCCAGCTCCACTGATTCCTCCTCCTCCCCTGTATGTAGCTTCCCATGGCTGAGAGATAACTGGACTTCTTACAGACTGCACCAGTGCTCCAAGAACAAGCAAGTGCTCCATGAGGAAAGGAGAGGACCCTAAAAGTTCCCTAAGGCCCAAAGGCCCAAAAGACAGCCCAGAAGTTCCCTAAGGCCCAAAGACAGCCATGGTAACACTTGCATGTATTCTGTTGGTGATCATACTTACAGAGACACTTGGATTTGGAGCAGACGCATGTGGACCCCACTTCTTGATAATAGCATTAGAGTGGACACAAGCCCATTCTAGTACTGACCCTGCAGAGGGAAATCTCACAAAAATTGACATCGGAGCATGATAAATGTCCAACTGAGCATCTGTATGGAAGCAGAGACACTGAGGCCCAGAGAGAGAACATGGTCACCAAGGTCAGACAAGCCAACCCTTGAGGAATTGAAATGAGAACTCTCTCTCCGGTGCCAGCCAAGGTTCCTTCCAGTGCAGGAGGCCTTGGTAATGAGATGCAGGTCCTTGAAGGAGGCGAGCTAGAGATTTCCTTTTCCTTCTGAAATCTCTGTCTTTCACCACTGTCTTCACTAAAGCCACCAGGTTCAGGGGCCTCTTGACAACCCCAGTTCCCTGGCCTGCTCATTCCTTTTCCCGTTTCTTAGCTCACATTTCTAATGTTTAGGTCAATATTTAGACTCTGAATCACAGTAATATTGAAGAATATGATGTCCTTGTTTCTGCCTTAACATAGATCTGTCAAGATTTTGGGAACATCTCCACAGTAATTTGCAAACTCAGTCCCATTCTGGGACTCTGAGTCATCACATTAGTGCCCCCTAATTTGCGGGGTGTACCCCATCTTTGATTTGTTGCTCTTGGGTTTCAAGAATAACCCACACCTCTGAAAGGAACAGGCTTCCTTTGTGTCTGGGCCTCCTCTTGGATGGAGGGGGGAAGGACTGGTTCCCGAAACAGTTTAGGCCTCCTGGGAATGCAGGACAGGGGTGTTCACTGTTCTCCAGGCTCTGCTTGCTGCCCAGTTTAGGTCTCCATATTGTCTGAGTTCAACAAATAAGTCTTTCCAGAGATAAAGAAAGCAGTTTCATTCCAGTTCACCTAATAAAACGATACTCAGCTTCACAGTGCGGGGAGAGGAGGAGGCCATGTCATTAAGTGAAACTGGCTTGTCTGAATACTCTAACGCAATGAAAACCAACAGAGTATGTGTTAAGGAAGCGGGTAAGCAAGAAAGGTAAACATCCTCTAGTATTCAAAAGCACAGACTCTGGAATATGAAAATCTTGAGTTTTGGTTATTACTGTACCACTTACAAGCTGTGCCACCCTGGGAAAGTTAGTCAGCCCCTCCATGCCTAACTTATAACAGTCCCATCGGTAAGAGGACCGAATAGAAGAAATAAGTAATGTGCCTAGGTATAGTATCTGCACTGCCCAGTAGATGGTAGCTATTCTTTAAACCTGCGTCCCGGTACAGCGGAGGGATTTAAGAACACTAGACTTCATCCCTCAAGTCCCTCACCTACACCATAAATCTGATTTCTCTTCCATCTTATCATGCATGAAACTTCCTCAGACATGCACTTGGTCACTCCCTCTTCCTCATCCTTCACAAACCAATCAATCACCAAGGCCTTTTGATATATCTTCAAAATATATCTCATGTCCACTCATTTTTCTAACTGTGAGGCTCTTCCATCTCTCACTGACACTTGTAGTAAATTCCTACCTGCACCCCAAACCCACATGCTTCTTTTCCAGGCTTGCCAAAAGCTGGTTGAGTCAGCAGAGGACTTCGAGCTGGCTTAACCCTAACCTCCACATCATAAAAGGACAATCCTTCTCTTCTGAGCCAGAACTGCTAAGCTACACTCACTCAGAGTTTGCAGGCCTCAAAAACCTGGGCCTAATGAATGCTTATTCTTTAATGTTTACTTTTATTGAAGCTACTGAGTTTTGGAGCGATTTGTTACGCAGCAGTAACTAGCTAAGACATTACCTTGGGCACTGCCAGAGGTGAGCTTTTCCTCCTGGAATAGTCCTTCCTCCTGATTTCTCAAGTCAACATGTGGGCAGAAGCAGAGGAGGCAGAGTTACAAGTAGGATGGTGTAATCCCTGCCGTGCAGAAGGGGAGCACTAGAGCAATAGCACACCTGTGAGATTCTCACACACCCCTCTGGGGGTGCTGGAGGGAGCTGCTCCCTGAGTTATGGGCCACTCATGGGAGCCTGAGGCCACCAGAAGCAGCTAAGTGGGAGTACTATCCTCAAAGTTCTCTTACCGGAAAGATGCAGAGCTGACACCAAGTCTTGACAGAGGATTTGAGTCCTGAACTCACACACGGTTTAACTGACACTTTCCCGAGCGATCACTGGAGAATTTCCAAAGTTACTGAAAATCTCAGGTACCTCAATACCAGGTAGACAAAACGGAATGATAAGCAGCTCTCCAGGCTGCATATCCTCTTGCTGTGAAATGATGCAGATGCTCTGCCAGTCCTGTTGCTCTGAACTTCACAAATCCAATGCAAATGCTCAGGCCACACGGGCAAAATAACGGCCAGCTGAAACAGAGGATGTTTCCCAGGACTGCTGCAAAGGGGAGAGTAACTTAGAGAAAGAGCTTGCATATTGTAACTATTTACATTTCTTTGCTAAGTTGATTTTTTCATTGGAAAAACCATGCCTTTTGACAGGAAGTGGTGGCAGAAATGTGATGTGTTGTGTTACAGGAGCAGGGCCCTCGGGCCTGGCGCATATGCAGGGCTCACCAGATGCTGCGAACTCAGGGCTCCTGGAGGGTTACTAACGGCCTCCTGAAAGCGTTCTCAATGAAGGAAGAGCCACCTCCTCCTTTGCCACCTCTCACTGATTTCCTGGTCTCAATCCTCTGCTTTCTGCTCCTTCCTCAAGCAGTGGCACTTTGCCAGGAGGAGCACCACTCACCGAAGGCCTTTAGCAAAGCTGCCACCCCTGCTCTGGTCTTCGTTCCCTGCCAGCACCCTTGGACTCTTGTCTCCAGAAGGCTCCCTTGTCGCATCCGATTACTTCCACTAGTTTTGGGATGATATCACCTCAGCGAGGTACCATCTCTTCTCTCCTTACAAAAGAAAGCAGACCTAGTTTCTCTAACCTTTCAGCAGAAGCAAATTCCCCAAATCCCTCTGTCATTCTGGTTGCCTTCTGCTGTGCCTTCTCTGGTTCCAAAATATCCTATTTATAGCAAGAAACCCAGAATGAGCTCAGGACTCATAATATGACCTAACCAAGCCTCCTTACATGACTAGAATAATTTTCTCTACTTCCTCTGGCTTTATGTTCGGCATATCCCAAGCTGATTCTTTTTTTCTCCCATTCCAAAACATTCCAAGGGACAAAGAATCAAATGATAGCCAAGTTATTGATAATTAGAGGCTGATGTTCACTGTGCTCTAGAATTAATAGGTTCAGGAGCTGGTTAGAGTTAGGAGTTTGTATAACATTAGGACTAAGTGAACAAGTCTTTTCCTTGTTGTTGTATTCATTTGTTTACTAAAGAAATTAGAGACTTGTCCATAAAACCACCAAACAGATGAAAGCATAGCGGGCTTCTCTTGGCTGTGCGGATATAGTACATCCCCTCCACCTGGGAAGCTGTTGAAAATACCAGATCTTGCTTCCTAGCTTCCTACCCCGCACTCTGCATCTGCTTTTTACCAAGTGACCTAGAGATCCATGTGCACATTAAATGACAAGGACAGTTGAGCACTGTGAGTCTCCCACCAGATGTCCTAGACAGGCCAGGTCCCAAGCATAACCTGCTGGACTCCAGTGCACCAGTGAATTTCTGGCCCTCTCACTGGTTTTCACTTGCCTTTCTGTGAGTCTGAGGTTGGAGACTCCCTGAAGATCTGATCTCCGCTTTTGTCCGGTTCCTAACTCGATCCTCCATGAAACACATTTTTCAAGCCTTGGCCTGATGGATTCTTAACCTGTCTCAGTCTCCTACTTACTTTTATATTAACAGTGTCACTTCTCCCTTTCTTGCCTGCCTTTCTTCCTCTCATTCACATTCTGGCTGGAAGGTGGCGTAGGAGAAATTCTTCCTCAGTATCGCATGTGGTCTTCTTCAGCCTCATTGTGGGCTATCTGGTTTTCTGAAACTGAGTTAAGCCACAGTCAGATGTTTTTCTCGGTTCCTCAGCCCAGGAATGCACAGAAGTTCTCGCAAACTAAATTGTGTGTCCCAAGCCTTTCTCCCACCTGCTTCTTTTCGATGCTTGTATCAGTTCCTTTTTAACTAAACTAGGTTTGGTAGATGGAAGATTCCTTGAGTTCTTTTTAAATATGAGCTCAACACCAGGTTCTTGGCAATCATTGCCTATTCTTATGTTCAGAAAGCTTTCCAAATTGTGCATCGTGATTCTTTGCCTCTCCTCCCATCGCCTGTGGAGAAGGATCAGAGATCAGGAAGTGACTAAGAGAGCCAATCTTTCTTCCTACCTGGTCAGAATCGCTTCTTGTATCACAGACAGAAATTTTTCTCTTACCTGTTTTTCAGATGTCCCTGATGACAGTAATTTGGCCCCATCCCAAGCCACTTCTGTGCTGATTGTAACAGGTGATCTTGAGGTAATGACCGCGGGGAAGGGAGGTCCAGGGTGGGGGAAGGGCACTATTTTTGCCTTGGCAATAATTATCCTAGCATTTATCTCTGCAATTCCGGGATGCTCCAAAGAACCATTCATGTGTGGTCACTAGCCCTTAACAATTCGCTTGCCCTAGAATAGGTACTGAAGAGGAAGAAGGAAAAGGAGGAGGGGAGAAAGAAGACAATAACTACTCCAACACAAGGTGGGAGGGAGACATGGACATTAACTACCGTAAGAACAGGTTGGGGAGGAGTGTTCACTGGTCCATGGCTACCTTGACACGGAGGAAGGTGCTCCCAAGCCACCCTTTAAAAAGTGACATGCAAAATTCCTGATTGGAAACCAGGAGGGTAGACTTAGTTTCAAGGGAAACGCTAAGCAGTTCTCGGTTCCCTAAGGAAAGAAATCCTCTCCCATTGCTGAGACTCCTGTGTTGTTACCCCTCTCCCACTAATCCTGAGAGGCTTTGCACCTGACGATTTTCTCCTGGCTCCTGTCCTGATAAGTCCTTTTCCCTACTGGTACCCAGCCTCTTAAAGCTGCAGAAAACTGATAAGTTCTGTGGCTGTGGCTTTGGTACAAAGCCATAGGTGACTTTCACATGAAGCAAACATCCTCCTCTCTAAGTTGTGCTGGTACATTGTGCCTTAAGTTTGGCTACGTTGTTAGACAGTGATTTACACAGCACAAGAATTATTTACCATCCAATTGGGAATGTTCTTGGTTTTGCTAAAAATGAACAGGGTCAGATGAACCTAGAGGTGTGTGATATTCACACAGTAGTTGATCAGGTCTGTGCAGAAAAAAATAAGATGATCTCAAGAACAAGGGCTCTCCATATTGTGACTATGGCAGTCATTTGCTTATTTTAGGCACCCGATTTTTGTGAACAGGAAGAAAAAAAGGAGATATGTTGAGTGAGTGGATGGAAATAAAAGCTGATGATATTAAGAGACTTTCCCTTCCTTCCAGTAACTCAGAATTCAGGAGGAGACACACATGTGCATTGGTTGACATTTCTTTTCCCTTCTCTCAACTCGCTGTTGTAAATGTTATCAGTAGAACACCCTCTACCCCTCCTCCTGGCCCATAAGTTGAGAGTTTGGGCAGTGCCGCTTAGAAACAAGGGCAATGGTCGGAAGTGTTCCTGGGGGAATATTTTCAGTCTGGTCCTGTGCTATTTAAATAACACCCATCTATGAGCCGTTCCTGTTCTGAATACTGAAGTACCCTCCTAAAAATAAAACATGATATTAATTCCAGAACAAAGATCTGAGGAGTGACTGATTGCCCCTCTATAGACGACACTCCGATGACAAAGTCGGAGAAACACATCACACGGGTGACGATAGGGAATAAGCACGCTGCTCTAGTGATCACCTGCCTGAGCCAATTCAAGACTTCAGCCTGCCCTAGACTCACAGAATTTGTCAGCAGGCAAGGGAATTGACTAATGGCGTTATGCATTGCATTCTCAGGAAATCAGCTCTCCCCACAGAACCTACACCCCAAGACATCTGAGGATGGCTTGTGCCAGCAGTCCCAGTCTTAGGGCAACATCTGCTGGCTAACTCATGGACGGACAGAAGTGGCTGTTTGTGGACAATATGAACAGCCCTTTTCATCGGAGGAAACTGTTGCCTTGGTGACCCTGTGTATCTGTCATTCTTTTGCAATGACCCACCTCAGCTCTCCCAGAGCCTGTCGAGTCTAGAACTGTGAGGTCCAGGAAGCCTTTGTATTTATGTGCCTTGGCTGGAGCCAAGGAAAAGCTAGACTGGCTTTGGGAGCAAATCTATGAAGCTATCCATAAACTTAACCTTGGACTTGCGCCTAACGTTAATAATCTAGTTCCAGTGGAGACACCATGGAACCGAGGCCCATATGCAGACTTAGGGAATAAAGCTGACTAGTCCCCAAAGAGGCCCTATGGAGGGGGAGGGGTTAGAGCCGGACCTTGAAGCAGCCACTGAATGCTAGTGCTGTGTTGCTTCTAAAGCATCCTATCTTTGACTTCCGGCTTTGGTACGAATGGCAATCGCACAGGGCACCTGTGAGGGGAACAGAGAGAAACCGGGAGCTGGAAAGACCTGGCTGGGCGGAAGCTCTGCGCCCTCCACCATCTTCTGCAGCACCGCTCTGCCTTAGCCTCGCGGTCAATAGCGCCTGCTGCGGCCAGGGCCTGCGACGCCGCCGGGGCCTTTCGCTCCAGTGCAGCTCCAGGTGGAGAGCAAGAGCGGTGGCGGTGGCGGTGGCGGTGCCAAGGCGGCGAAACCCGAAGAGTGAGGACTCCCGCCCAGCGCTCCTCGGAGCCGCGGGAGGTCCAGAACCGCAGGTTCGGCCGGCAGGGGCGCGTCCGTCTGAGGAAAGCTACCTCCGGCTGGCTCCTCGCCACGCCCGGCGGGGTCGCCCGCGCCAGCCAGGCCCCTTCCCCGGGTCTCGGGAGGGTGTGCCCCTCCCCCACCCTCTAGCTCGCCCCTGTATTTTGCACCCCGGTGGCAATGAGGGGGTATTTCGTGGTGCTTTCTTTTTTAAACTTCTTCTGAAGTTCAGCCTTTCCTTCCCAACTTAGTTTCCATCAACACGTGACCTCCCTCTCCACTCCCCAGCTTGCGCAGCCGCCGGTGGGAAGCGCGAGCGGGCGGGTGAGGCCCTCCTGCCTCGGCCAGCGGGCGCTAGCGGGGGCGCGCACCCCGCACCCTACAGCAGGGACAGGGGAGCTCCTTAGGATACGACAGCGGCTGCGGGAAAGCAGTACTCAGCCCGCAGGAGCCGCAATTCCCTCCCGCGCGCCGGAACCCCGCGCGCCTCTGCAAGGCGCCCGGGAGAAGCCACAGCGCATTAGAGCCAAAGCAGTCACAACTTCATTCAACAGGAGCGTGCACAGCTCCTGCGGGCAACTAGTGGGTCGCCCCACAGCCTGTCGCCCAGTCATCCGGGCCCGGGAGGAAAAGGAAAAGTTGCCCGGTGGCTGCTGCGCGCAAACGCGCAGCCCGCAGGGCCCAAGGACAAGTCACCCAGTCCCGTCACCTGCCCCCACCGGATCATCACGACCTCAGCTGCTGGAGACCCTTAGTCACAGTGGGGAGGGGGAGGGGCGCGAACTTTTCTAAGAAGTTTCCTTTTTACCCAGGGAGTCACAGCGCCGGTCACGCAAACAGCGCGCACGGTCGCCGCGCGGCCACCCCCGGCGGCGCCCCCTCCCCGCTGCGCTTTTCTGGAATTCTTATTAAAGCCGTAGCCTGCTGGCGCTGGAGAGCAACAAGTTCCCCCGCGGTCCTCCCGCCCTAGCCTGGCAAGGAGAAGGGATCTTACCTGGCGACGGGGGCAGCTCTGCGGCAGAGCCCACCTTGGCCAGAGCCCCAGGTGTGAACCGATCGAGGGGGCCGGGAGCGGTGCGCAGCCTGGGTTATTTTTAAGGGGAGGGGGGTCCCCTGCAAATCCTCGCTTCGTCTGGGAACTTTCTGGGCGGCGAGCACGCAGCATCGGGAAGCCCGCTCCGTAGCCGGGCACTGGGCAGGCCCTGGGAAACCGGCTCATTCATTAGAATCACGTAAGAACTCACGGGAAACCGTGCCTCTCTCGCGCCGCGAGGACGTTTGCGTAAACCTATAGGTTTTTCCACCTCGATGCTTTGTCTTCTGTAGTCGCCAAGGTGGTTGAGAGTTTAAGCTTGCGGATATTGCCACGGTTTATTAGATTCATAAGTCATAGAAGTGGTGGGCGATCACTGAGCAAAGCCGAAGTTCTCACATGATGACTTCAAGCGACACACATTACCTTCCAGCATCTGTCGGGGAGACGAGATCTTAAGACACTTGCGTCTCCAGGACAGCCAAGACACCATGGTGAGTAGCAGGAAAGCCTGCATCCTAATTGAGAAATCTTGACATGTTGCTTAACAACGGGGCAGATCGCGGCTCAGCCCAGCGCTTCTCACGCCAAGGAGCAGAGGCGGCCACCCAGGCCAAGGCGGCCGGGTTTTTGACACAGTGCAACTTTAATCAGAATCCTTTGAGATTCACCACAGCGAGGTGGAAATGCGTGGAACAAACTTGGGACTGGAGGGGGTGTGTGGAGACGTTCGAGTGCTGCCCGGAGGCCGGGGCCAGTGTACTGGCTCACCCGCTGCCTTTACGTGTGTGGTGCCGGAGCCTGTTCTGTGATTTCTATGTGGGCATGTAATTGACATCCGCGAGGGGGTTAATTTCCATGTTACAACAATCATGCTGCCGGAGGAGGCTGGGGTAAGGGTGGCGCAGGGGCTGGGAGCTCGGTGAGGATGGGGGTGGGGTGGAGAGAGAAATAAGTCACAAGTGCACAGCCCTGGTAATGATACGGGTAATCCTCGGAAAAGGGTCTCGTCAACATGTGATCCACTAGAAACAGGGTGGCTTTGGCAAAGCCACCCACACGTGACAACACGTAAGGAAGTGGAAGAAACCGTGTAGAGCGATCTCAAGTATCACTTAATGAGAGATTGGGTACCCTTTTTCTCCTGCTGCGCCTGGCGTACGATCCGGGCTAGCGGGGTCCATTCAGAACCTTGGACAGCGCCACCGGATCTGTCCGAGGTAGTGGACCCAGGTAGTCAGCTGCCGGCTGTCAAGCCAACCCCGTGTCGCCCTTTAAAAAGCGTCTTTTCCGAGGTTTGGCTCACACTGAGCGCGGGGCTGGGAGTCAGGTTTTGGAGCGGAGCCCCAGTTTGGTGCCCCTCATTGAGCTCGCTGAAGTTGGCTTCCTAGCGGTGTAGGCTGGAATAGACTCTTGCAAGCTCCGGGTTGGTATACTGGGTTAACTTTGGGCAATGCAAGTGTTTATCTCCAGGATCTAGCCACCGGGGTGGTGTAAGCCGCACAGAAGGTAAGCACCGGGGCGGAGACCCCTGCATTCCCAATTCCTGGGCTTTCTGGTTACTGGGTTTTCGGGAAGAGACGTAAGGTGGAGGGGAGGAAGTCGAGGGAGAGGGTGCGAGGGGGTTCTTTCTTGGTATCTGGCCAGTTTCCATGGCCCTAGTAGGTGAGAACCCCGGGCAAAGCAGGGAGGACCCTCCGCCTTCCTGCGGATGTCACGAGTTGAGTGAACTTGGACCTGCAAATGTCTGGTTCGGGTGGACGGTTTCTCTTTCTCTCCCCTTCCCCTCGCTCTTCCCCGTTCTTTTTGCTGGTGTGTGTCGGGGGGGGGGGTGCGCGTACAGTAGCTTCATGGTTAATTATGAAGCTTTTGCACAATGTTCCATTTCCTCAAACCTGACTTGGTACCATTTAGGGTCAGGCGGCGGAGGCGGTGTGCAGTGAGGAGGGGGGGGGTGGAGGTTGGGGAGAGGGAAGGAGGTGAAGCTGTGTCTCCAACAAAAAATGAATCAAGGTAATTTGGGCTCCTCTAGTGAGCAGGATTCATTCTCTGCTCCCGCCCCCTCTGCACCCCGCCCCCTCCTCCTGCCTCCTTCCCTCCCGCGTCCTCTTCTCGCGTCTTCTCGTCCCTCGCTGGATGTCTTTCTGGGTTCTCTTTCCTTCTTTTCTTGCTTCCTCCCTGCCCTCCCTCCTCCCGCGTTTTGGGCGCTGGCTTGGAGGGCTCCGGCTTTCTCCAGGGACAGGGGAGCCGCCGACACCGCCCTGAGCCCAGGTCCGAGTCAGTCGGGGTAACCAGGGAAATGGGGGCCTCGGCTCGGGAGCGGAAGGTCCTTTCCGGACCGAGAGCCAGGCAGCGGGCCCGGGCGGGCGGGGACGGGCGGCCGGGGGCGGAGGAGCAGCCCCGAGCCTTGCGCGGCCAGGCGCGCAGGGCGCAGGGCGCGGGGGCCGCGGTGCAGACGCGGGGCGCGGCGGGGAGACCGAGGTACTCACAGCCGGCCCTCCACCGCCCCCATCCGCGCCCGCGCCCGCGCTCCCGCCCGGAAGACCCCGAGCGGCCGGAGAGCGCTGGGCGCGTCCTCCTGCCTCAGCCTCGCGCGCCTTGGGATCTGCGCGCCCCTGGGCGGGGGCCACTCACCGCCGCGCGCTCCCACAGACGCACCCCACCCTGTTGGGGCCCTTTGTTCCGGCTGCGGAGCCCGGGGGATGGGTGGATCTGGACTTCTTCCTGGCTCAGCCTGGCTCCAGGGAAAGGCCGGGGCTCGGGGTGGGTGGGGATTGGGGAGCGAGCAAGGAAGGGAAAACCCATTTCCGAAACTCCAGACTGGAGAGGAGGGTGCGAGCGCAGGCTGAGAAAGATCCCCCGAGTGTGCGCAGGTGGAAATGAGATACGCGCGGATACGCCCGGAGAGCTTGGAGATGTAGAAAGGGAAAATAACAACAACAATAATAATAATAAAAGCCCAGGTCTGGGATCGGCGGGCTGTGATAGGCTGCTCGGCACACAAAGAGCGCACAGGGCCGGTGACGGAGCAGCCGCGGCGCCGGGGCGCAGATGGCCCAGGTCCGGCCCAGCCTCCGTGGGATCCACGCGCGACCACGGCGAGGCGGGGCGCCGGGCGGGGGGATTTCTGATGAGTCTGATGCAATTCCGAGCGTGCTGCAAAGGAACTCCAAGGCGCCCGCAGCACCGCCGCCACCCACCTTCCCAGATGGCGCTGTTTTAAATACGGATCCGCAGGGCTGAACGCGGAACGGGGAGATTCATTGCAAAATCCTAGGAAGGGGGCGGGGAGGGCGGAGGGGCAGAATTTAAAGGTGCAAGGCCCGCTTTCCCCGGGCGAGACGCAAAGGGTCGGGATTTGACTTTCTTTCCGTCTGCTGTTCTCTGGGTTCTAATTCCCCGAGGAAGAGGTGTAAATATTGTGACATTTCGAGGCGGCTTGATGGATGGGGGGAAATCATCTGTCACTCTCCCCGCGCTTCGCCTGGCTCGCGCTGCTGCTAATGCAGTTGCTAGGGCTTCCTGCGAACGCACCGTTAAGGGAATATTATCCTTTTAGTCTACTTGCCAATTGATCTGACAGTGGCACTGAGAAAATTGTAGATTCCGTGCCTGGGGGAGGCGAGGAGGGAAGCTGCTTCGCAGTCCAATTCTCGTAACCTCGAGATCTTTAACAATTTAAATAAACCTCAAAAGTGTCACGTCATGCTCTCCCACACAGAGGCACACACACTCTCTCTATTTCCTCAACTCAGAGGCTGAAATGGTTTCCCCTGGAGCGTGGTGGGTATGAATGTCACTTTAAGAACACAGCACCTGGAAGCCACTGTTTATCTATATTTACACGGAGCTCTCCAGCAGGAAATTTCAGTTGCCCTGTTTGGAATCAGAAGGTGATGGGGGTGGGGTGAGAGAGAGGGAGAGAATGAATGTGCGAATATGAATATTAAAAATGCAGCAGTAAAGCCAGCCTACTCCTGCGCCCTGGGTCTTGCATATTAATACTTCTCTAGGCAAGACTTGGGCTCGGTGTAGCTCCCCCAGTGGGATAGCGCAGGACTGATTCAGATGAAAATGTGCACCCTGCCTGTAGCTTTCCCGGCACCCTCGATAGTAAGACTTACAACACAGCAGTTTTTGGAGGATGCAAGAGGGTGTCTGCGGGTTGCGTAAACCCGGAAGCAGGGCTCCACAGGCCGGAGGTGTCACACTGCACCCTCGTCAGCTCAGCCCTTTTATTTGGCTCAGCCGGAGCTCTGGTTAACTGGAAGCATCACCCTATTCCCAAGGCCAAGGCAGGGCAGAGGATTTTTAAAGCCAAGAGAATCACAGGCTTACAGGATATTATTTCTCAGTCGTGTTTCAGTGTAAATGGAAAAGAAGATTTGAAAAGCTCTAAAATCAGCAGACATAAGCTTCCTTTCATTTATTTGCCAGGCTCTTTCCCTATCAAATCTCTAATCTAAATTCTTAATAAGGAAAGAAGATGGTGAATTAAGATTCTTTCCTTTTCCTGGCCTGTCCTCTAGGGGAAGGTTTGGTAAGAAACAACAGAGCAAAATCAAGCAGAGGGAGAGAAGAGAGGGAAAGGAAAGAGGAGAGAGAGAGAAAGAGAGAGAGAGAGAGAGAGAGAGAAAGGCTCAGAGACAGACAGAGACAGAGACTGAATCACCATAAAACAAGAGAATCAGACACCAAAGAGAGACACCAAAGAGGCACAAATACGAGGAGACTCTGTTAAAGTATGACCCACAGAGGGTTATTTTTTAATTCTGTGATCCTGGGACCAGACTCCAGTTTGCTCCAATAACATTCACTTGATCATTTTGCTTACAATCTGCCAACTAAAATGATGTCTAAATATAGTTTTAAATAAATATTCTTCCAGCAAAGGCCAGTAAAGATTGAGTTTTGCTTCCAATTAGGACAATCATTTAAAGGGTTCTAATGAATATGAACTGATATCATCAGATTTTAAAATTCTGCTTCAAACTAAATTTGTTCTTGAACAACATTGGCTTGCCAGAAAAATATCTATTTTCGTAGCTTTCTTTTCACTCTATGGGTAATTTAATGAGTTGTCTATTTTAATTTTACAACTGCTACCTCAGAAGTATCTCAAATTATCTTTCTTGTGCTGGCGTCTTTCTCAGCTGATCTGCTTCTATGGTGTGTGTATGTGTTTGTTTTCTAGTGGGAACATATCAGGCAGTGAATTCCTTAGTGTACATGGATAATCCACGTGAAGAACATGTGTGGTATATTCTAATAAACATAAGCATTAGCATTTAATGAAATCTTACCATGACTGAGCACCTCAGAAGTGAGGGTATGTCTTAAGGGGAAAGATTACATTTTTATTAAATAGAAAAATCTGTTCCTCTTGACTTCAGAGTGACCATAACTTCAAAACTTTGGAAGGTAGAACTCGCGGTGTTCAGAGAAAGAGACACATGTTCCATAAAGGCTAGGGCCCCCCGAAACACTGTGGGTGAAAATCAAACTATTGAACCCTTTATCCCTATTTCCATTCCAATTGATGACATTGGGGCTTTTCGTTCTCAGTTTTTAGATGTTTGTGTAGACTTTATTCCCCTCTCTTTCACTCTAAGGTCCTTGAAGGGTCCCCTAAGGGTTTCTCTTTACTGTAGTACAGGTTCTGTACTTCCTAGCTGTAGAATGTTCTGGAACTCTTTACAGGTTTCTTCACTTGGTCTCCTCCTTAGCTGGGCAGGGCAGGGGTCATCAGTCACCTGTGACAGCTGATATCACAGTGCAAGACCCCCAGGACCACAAGGCCAGCAAGTAAGAGGCACAGCACCTCGGCACCTGCCTCTCCCCATTTCCAGGTCCATGCCAGTTGCTATCTAGACTTTTATCCCACTGAAACCTAACTGGGGCATCAGAGGAAGTTGCAGGCATGATTTCCTCCTCTTTCCGTTCAGTCAGTGAAAAGAATGTTGTCTACCAGAATTCCTGAAATTGCCATCCACCTGCGACCTTCCCTTTCTTGGCCTTCCTTCCCCTCTCCCGTAGTGAGGGCCTCAGAGAAGCCAGGAGCTTTCTAACTGGCACAGTCCAGTCACAGTGACTAATTCCCCCAAAACTAACATGGAAAATAAGCCAAAACCAAGGAGGACATTACTTTTACTGGTGAGTCCCAGAACCTGAGGGCCAGGCAGGGAAGTTTCTCAGAGGTCACTTGGCCTGGCCTGGGTGTGATGCATGAATTCATGCTGGTTGGTTTCCTTTTAACCCTCTGGAATTTCATCCCTAGTGGCATGGTGGACGCCTGCATCCTCCCTGATGCTGGGAGGGAGATGTTCCGTGGCTATCTTCCGTGGCTCCCGCCTGGTCCCACAGTGTGCCTTGCTTTGAGACTCTGTAACTTAGTGTTAGACTCTAAGCTCCGACTTTTAAGTGCAATGACCTGCGTTTGGGTCTGGACATCTGGCCAGAAGCACATGTCGGGCTAAGGCTTCTGGAGGAAACACAAGGACTGGGGCCCTTATTTACCCTCATTCCTAGACAGACAGGGGCTTCTGGACTCCCACCTTCTCAACAGAACACATGCGGGGAGCTAATTAAAAACCTGACTTCAAGCTTCATTCCAAACTAGTTGTCAGCAGCTGGAAAAGTCAGTCACGCCCAGGGGGTGACCCAGAAGGCACCCTCAGAAGTGAACTCTCACCGCCTTTTGCACTACAGACCCCAGATGTGAAAGCCAGAGGCTTGGGGTGTCTCTTGGTGAGAAGCAGAGCTTAAGGGACTGTAACCCTCAGTGATGTACAATTTTAGATGCTACCAATTTTTAACATGGGAAAAAAAGTCAAACGAATGGATTGGAACCCTGATAGAAGAAAGCTAAGTGTTGAAGCTGTCAGGCTTTTTTTAAAATTTTTATTGTGTATTTGTGTGGCTGGTTAGTTCGCTCTGTGGTACTAGGGATTGAGTTGGGGCCTCCCGCATGGTAGGCAAGCACTGTTCCATGAGTGACACCCCTAACTCTTTTTAGTTTTCATTTTGAGACTCCCATCTCAGACTAAAGTTGCCTATGCTGGCCTCGAACTTGCCATCCTCCAGTCTCACCTCCCAGGTAGCTTGGGCTGCAGATGTGATCACCATGCCCAGCTGAATCTCCAGCCTTCTTCACAATGATGAGGACAAAAGTTTACACAGGACCACCAGCCTCACACTTCTGCAGACTTATTTTCATAGGGCGTGGTGTGGTGCAAGACTTCTACCAAATTCCATGCCCTTTTCCTAGGACAGGCACAAGTTCAAATTTCTCTTTAAAGCCAGATATGTTCATTCTGCAATTGTGTGGTTCTCATGAATAAAGCCTTCTATGCACACAGTCATAGCACATTGTTGATGGCCCATGCAGGAGCTACACGGGAGGAGGCAGGTAACCCCAGGGCTCCAGAAGATGTATGGGTACTCTGACATCCAAGAATGCTATAGATCTGTCCTTAGCTAACTCAGCCTGGTGGAGATAATTAAGAAAAAAATGTGGGTGTAGAAGAAGGCAAGCCATTCCTTGGGATTGGATTGCTGCTGTAGTTCAAAAACAATTGGGACAGCCACCCACGCTGGGCATGACTGCCCTTTGATGAGACAGCTATTGACTTTTATAAGGATGCCATATTTAGAATAACTTCTGATGCACTGGGGATGACAGACATCATTCTTGATTTCTATTTTGGACAAATGGCAAACTCTACTCCAGTGTATTAATTTCAAAAGGAAAAGAGCCCTTTAAAGTCTAGTTTCTAAAAACCAGGTCTTCAGCCACATGCGACCTCTGCACGTAACTGGTAGGAGCTGCTAAGAAACCTGTCACTCAGGGGAGACGTTTTCCCCAGGTGGTGGCACTTTTCTAGACCACTACAGGAAGCTGAAAATCCTTTGCCAAAGTTTGAATCCCTGAGTGAATGTTAAGGGTGCTGCAAGACCTTCATACACCACAAAGGGAGGTCCCACAGCCGCTCTTCACAGCAGAAGAAAGTACTAGCTGCAGGATTATGTCACGAGGAAAGCCTGAGGGTGTTGCCCCTACTCGCCCACCACGCCAGAAGGAGCCCACACTGGTTTATCTCCAGTGGTCCAAGCATGGCTTCTTATCTAAATGGGCACTGCACGAGGTCCCTCACACACCCAGGCCTGCAGGACAGGGCAAGGGGACCAGGGAATGGAGAAGACAGGGAGATGTGTGGAGCAAGTGA